AGCAAGATGCTTGACTGAGAAGGAAACCCCTATTTGTAACAAACTGCTGCTTGGAATTTTCTGCTGTTATTCTTGGATAAAATGTTGCTTTCTAGTCTGCTTTAGCCTGTTTGAAAAATGATGATAATAAACTTAGCTGTATGACCTTGTAGGCGGGAGACTAGATATGCCCATAATCTTAATGCCATGCCAGGTGCATTTTTTAATTGGATAGAATTGTATTGTTTTCAAGGCCAGCATCGAGATAACCACTAAATGCACATAGGGCTGGCTCTTTAATAAAAAAGGAAGTTCTGCTTCTAGCTTTGCTTAGAATTTGAAGTCATTTTCTCTAAGCCCATCGCGCGATGAATAAACTTAAGTCTCTCCAAACTCTCCTTCTGCATTGTTTGATTGTTCGGGAACTCTGCAACATGACCAGGATCTGGCACTCCAGCATCATCACAGAGACGGTGAGATATGGCTGAGTTTACTGAGGGAGCATTCCATTGACGGCTCTGTCTGGGCTCCCACGAGGACATTAAAGGATGTTGTTTGGGCATTAAACTCTGTTTACGGATCTTCTTTTTTTAAAAAACAAACAAACAAACTGTGATTGGATGAGCAGTCTCTTACCTCCTCCCATGAATGGCAGCCCTGCCTCAGTGTCTGAGGCTTCCCAGAATGCAGTCGTTCACTGTAGATCTCTTACTGAAATGCGTATTTTATTTAATGTAAGTATATTTTGGGACAGATTTGTAATTTGTACAATTTAATGCTTTTCTATTTTTTTATTATTATTATTATTTTCTATTCTCCTTTAGATTGTCTTTCCATTGTATAGAGCAGGCAGATGTTGGGTTAAGCAATTATTGAAGAGAAATACAAAGAAAATATGAAAGACCAAAAAAAAAATAGAACTTGCAAAGAGGACCGGAAACACCCCATATTTGGGAGACAAAGAAGGTAAAAAACATATAAATAAGGAAAGTTCCTCCATGTTGGGTCCCAGAATTTGAAATACAGTTTTATTTCAGTCTGCGATGTGATAACAATAAAGTGTAACTCCATCTCTCTAAGCGTTGCTTGGTTCTTCTCTGGTTTTCTGAAACAAGTCCATGGCCGAAGCTCTACCACCGAGCCAAACCGGCTAGGGCTCCTCTTTCTTTTTTTTACATTTACCCGAAAGACATCTATTACCCTCCTCGCTGTCACACTGGTGGCTTCCTCCCCAAAGGCAGGCTGGATGGGAACAGGCCTGGGGAGAGTCTCCCCAGCCCAGAAAGGCCCGGAGCGAGGTGTGTGTGAGAGGAGGTGGCTCTGTCACAGCCAGCCATGCGGTAGGGCCACGGAACCTCACCCTGGAATTTCTCCTGCTCTGGAGTGGACCCTAATCTGTGCTATCCAGATTATTAAAAATCACATGATTTAGCCCGGCCGTCAAACCCTTTGTCAAACTGAAACGAATTTTGCTCTTCTCAGTTTGTTTGTTTTTCTTTCATTTCTTCTCTTCTCAGTTTTGGTATACATTGCACGCTTTCCTGGGATAGAGTTTTGTTTTCACATAACAGCAGTAGTCAATATAATTTTAAAATGTTTTATTTGGAAATGTCTTACCTTTAAAAAAAAAAACCTCACATATACTTTTTATTGATTTCAGAGAGAAAGGGCAAGGGAGAAAGAGATAGAAACATCAATGATGAGAGAGAATCACTGATTGACTGCCTCCTTCACGTCCCCTACTGGGGATCAAGCCCACATCTTGGGCATGTGCCCTGACCAGGAACTGAACAGTGACCTCCTGGTTCATAGGTCAATGCTCAACCTCTGAGCTATGCCGGCCGGGCTAAATCATGTGATTTCTAATAAATTACAGGAAAAGCCTGGCCAATGGTTGGTGCGGGTCAATGGTTGAGTGTTGGTCCATGCACCAGGAGGCCACCAGTTCAATTCCCTAGGTTGCAGGCTTAATCCTCAGTAGGGAGCTGTAGGAGGCAGCCAACTGATGTTGCAATCTCTCTCTCCCTCTCCCTTTCTCTCTCTGAAATCCATATTAAAAAACATTAAAATACACAAATTGTGGGGAAAAAAAAAATACAGGAGAGTAATGCAGGCCACCCCAGCTCCAGAGCACATAGAACTTCCTGTTGTTGTTTGTGGCTTTTCACCCACAAAAATGCTGTGTCTGAGTTTCTGTGGCCCCTCCACCCCACTTGACACATAGCTGCTCTTTAACTGCTTTTTGTAGAAAGTTAGAGAACTTATTCACCAGGGCTCAAGGGACTAAGGGAGGTGGGAAGGCTAAGTCTAGCAAAGGTCAGCACTTTGGAGATTGGGTGGGAAGATTGGGGTATAGAGAGCCACCAGATGTCACACAGCAAATTCAACTCATGGAAAACCCCAGGGGGGGGGGCGGATTTCAAAGAGGGAGGGTTGGTCAACTAAGAGACTGAGAGGAGCTGGGAGAACCCACAGCATTGAAAGCTTATTACTGATTGAGCACCTACTGTGCCAGGGACTGTGTGGGCTATTGAGGGGAACAAGGACTACAATAGAGGGGGGACGGGGGAGGCAGCCTCAGGAGAGTGGAAAGAGCCTCCCAGAGAGAACAGCATGGGCAGAGGCCCCGAGATGGGAGCGGCTTGGCAGGCAGCTAAAGAATGTTGTCCAGCAGGGGGCTCTGCAGGGACCTAAGATGCAGGCAGAGCCTTACAGGCCAGGGTTGGGCTTCATTCACATTGGGTGCACAGGAGATTTTCAGGCCGGGATTATTTCATTTTTTTAACAATGAAATCATCTAGAGCTTGGCTACTGGACTGAAATAGCTTAAAAGAGGCAAGACTGGGAGATGAGCTAGATGACCTCAAGGGATCGGTGGGCCACAAAGCTCCTGGTGGCTTTGGCACAGGGCGGCAGTTTTTCTGTTGGAAGAAATAAGGGGGAGGGCATGAGGAGAGGTCAGTGGAGGTTTGATTCAGGGTCACTTGGGAAATTCAGGGACAGGGTTTGAAAGAACAAGAATGGTGACTGATGCCCGGTCGGTGTGGCTCAGAAGTTGACTCATGAACCAAGATGTTGCCTGTTCAATTTCCAGTTAAGGCACATGCCCAGGTTGCAGGCACCATCCCCAAAAGGAAGTATGCAAGAGGCAGGTGATCAATGTTTCCTTCTCAGTGATGTTTCTATCTCACCCTTTCTCTCTCTAAAATAATCCATAAATCTCTAAAAGAGCCCAGCTGGCATGGTGTGGCATGGCTCAGTGGTTGTGCATCGACCTATGAAGCAGGAGGTCAAGGTTTGATTCCGGATCAGGGCATATGCCTGAGCTGTGGGCTGGATCCCCAGTAGGGGGTGTGCAGGAGGCAGCCGATCAATAATTCTCTCATCATGGATGTTTCTACCTCTTTCTCTCTCTACCTTCCTCTCTGAAATCAATAAAAACATATTAAAAAGAAGAAGAAGAAGAAGAAGAAGAAGAAGAAGAAGAAGAAGAAACATAAAGAAAAGAAAAAAGAAAAGAAAAGAAAAGAAAAATAAAGGCACATGGGACATGAAGTGAGGATATGGCCAAGGGTAATGAAAGCTGGTCAGGACCTGCAGTGGGCAGCCTTCGGAGCTGGGGAGTCAGGACAGAGACGGGCCTTCTAGTGTGAAGGCATGCCAGAGGGGTCCCTGGAAGTGAAGGAGGTAGGACGTGAGCACCAGTGGGGCTCTGCTCAAAGGAACCCTCAGCTGGGCTGCCTCCTTCCTTAGGAAGGTAGGGGCCAGGCCAAAGGTAAGGAAGATCCTTGCCACTAGTGCCCTCCCCTCCTGGGGCAGGGTCCTCAGGATTATCGGGACCAGCGGGAAGCTACTGAAAGGGTGCGGGTCCAGCCATTGCTCCTCTTGCAGGACTGACAGCTGGCCATGGTGGGGAGCTCCTTCTAGGAACCAAGATTTCCTTCCTACCATCCAAAGGGTCTGAAGCTGGCAGAAGAGGGTGCAGGATACTGACCCACAGAAATGTCCCCATCCTGCAGGTCTCCTGGCTCCCAAACCCTCCCCACATCCACCTTGGAGTGTTTGCTCTTCATCAGGCCCACTTCCTCCCTTTTCTTCCTGCTTCAGGTCAAAGTCCCACCTTCATCTCATCTCAGCAGCTGCTATTTGCTGCCAATCACCCCTGAATGCAAAGCTGGTCTTCATACATCTGCCTGGAGCAGGGAGTCAGGGCTGGGGGTGGGAGGCATTTGGCCTCACAGATGGTGAACTGCGCTGGCCCTCTCAGGCCTCAGGCCTTGCTCCAGGCTCCCCCAGTCTCTGCATTTGCAGGCCCAGGTGAGGTGGCCAGCCCAGAGATCAGATGGCTGCCCCCTGCCTACTCTGCCTTCCTTCTAGGCTCATGTGGAAGTGCACTCTGCCAGCTCCCTACCGCCACCACTGCCCCAGTCCCTGGGCCTCTGATCTTGGAAGAACATGAAGGAGTTTGAGAGGCCCAGCCCAGCCCCAGTTATGAAGGCCCAAAAAGGGTGGTCAGGAAAAGCAAAGGGGCCAAAGTCCCCAGGCCTGAGCTCCTGGTGTTCAGAAAGGTGCAGCTATTGAGCACTTACTGTGTGCCAGGCCCTGCAGGAAGCCGTGCACAGGCTGAAATCCAGCTGCTCATGGTAAGTCTGTGGTCAGTGTGACCAGTGCCCTGTTTACAGATTAGAGAGGTCAGGTGGACTCTGTACCTAGTTAATCACTGTCCCTAATGCACATTCAGGAAATCACTTGCCCTCCCTTAGTTATCTGGTCCTGCAAGAACTATTTATGTAAATACTCCCAATCTATAAGGGGCATAAACCAACGATGTAACAGCTTAATTAGAGGGAGGTCACTGGCTCCATCCATGATGGACATTAGATACAATCGAAGCTTACCCAAGTTCTCCTTTTTCAGCAGAGCCTAGATCCAGGCCCAGGTCCATCTGCTTGGCGCACTGAGCACCCGCACTCCACCTCCCAACCCCCATCCAGTCAAGCACTCAATTTGGTTCAATCAACTTTTGAAGCAAATCACCTTTATTGTTGAAAGTATTACAGATCTCCCTTTTTCCCCATTGACCTCCTCCACCCCACTTGTGCCCCCTCCCAAGGCCAACCAGCTTTTATTAAAACGCCATAGCAAGAGAAGGAAACCCAGGCAAGCTGGGAAGAGAGGCTGTGAACAGGGTGGACGTGAGGGAGGTTGTGGAGGATGGGTCAGGGGTGAGCAGGAAAGCAAATATTCTATGGGAACGGGGGAATCAAAGGGCTGGGAGGTGTGGCTGAGCTCCTCCAGGATCTCATGGGACTCCTTAGGCCTGGCATAAACTTGAGAAACACTTTGCCACACTAGAGAAGAAACTCTCAATTACACTCCAGATGGTCTTCGCCACTTTGACAAAGGAGGCAAAAATTGAGGCCAGCACATCCTTCCATATCTTCTTCTGTCGATTTAGCATCTCTCGGAACAACCTCAGTACCCATTCCCCAAAGCTCTCCTCAGGTTTCTGGGCCCCTGTGAGAGAGACTAGTTAGCAATCCAGGGCAAGTGGAATAGGGAAGCTGAGACAGATGGTTAAAGGACTGAGGCTTTTCAGCCATTGAGTACAATGCAAAATCCTGTCTTCCCTAACCAGGGACACAAGAGTAAATGGTTTAGAACATCGTCCTGTACACCGACACAGATTGTGGGTTTGATTTCTGGTTAGAGAACATACCTAGTTTGCAGGTTCAATCCCTGTTCAAAGCAAATACAAGAGGCAACTGATTAATGTTTCTCTCTCACATAGATGGTTCTCTCCTTCTCTCTCTCTCTGGCTCTCTCTCTCTCCACCCCTTACTCTCTCTAAAGTCAACATACATCTTCAGTGAGGATTAAAAATAAATAAATAAAAAGACTAAGTGGCTCATACTTCTCCTCCAAAAACAGGGAGATAGATAGCAGTATCCAGTTAGTGCCAAACACACCCAAACCCAGATAAGGTAAAGGAACACATCTCATTTTGGCAGAGCAACATAAAGCTGGTGAATATTCTATTGAGATCCTTCCCCAAGAACTCCAGCCTTTTTTATTTTTTATTATTGTTTATTGCCATTTTTTTTTTATTTTTTAAAAAAAATCAATCTTTATTATTCATATTGTTACAAAGGTTCCTCATTTCTTCCCCCCTCCACCAGGTTCCCACCCCACCCTCCGTCCCCTCCCCATCCCCCATTGTCCTCATTCATAGGTGCAGTTTATGTTCAGTCTCTTCCTCCCTCCCTTTCCCCGATAATAAATCTCTTTTCAGATAGTAAATCAGTTACTTAGCATTTTCTCATATCAACAATACCACCACATGCCCAATGATACACTTCACACAAAAGACATTTCCAAATAGGTCAACCAGCCTCATCTAGGCCCCACCCAAGGCACTCAAAGATTGACACCCCAGCCCTATACTAACTCAACACATCCAGATCTAAGCCTTCATCTCTTGATTCAGCAGACCCTCAAGTTCCCACAAAAGTTTCCAGCCATGTCTGAGAGGCAGCCTTGGGGCAGGGGCAGGCTGCTCCGGGCCTGGCTGCTCCGGGCCTGAAGAACTCCAGCCTTTAAACCCCTCAAGACAAAGGAGCCAGGAGCAAGCCCACACCTTTCTTCCCTTTCAGACATGCATCGCCTAAACTCTGGGTCCCCGGCAGACTTGCAACCAGAGGAGCAATGGGCAGCAGCAGCTCGTCTGGACTGACCCCCCAAACCTGTCTCCAAGGCCCCCCTTTTCTCTAAATTTCCAGTGAGCCAAAGCAGCCCTGCCGAGGCTCTCTGCTGGTGCTGCTTCCATCCTAAGCCCTCCTCGTTTCACCCTCCCCAGCGTTAATAAACATCCTCTCAAAATCACCTGAACTTTCATTGTTCGATCCTTCCGGCTCAGATTTCTGCTCCGAGCCTGGTTCCTGGACTTTACTACGGATTCTGTTCCGCAGTTCCTGCTGCTGTTCCGGAAGTAAGGGAGCACATTCCTGTGGGGATGGGGCATGTGTAGGATCCGAATGGGTCCTGACAGAGCCTCATACACAGAGCTGCCTGCTTTCCTGCCGGCAGTCCACAAGGACCGCTTGCGGAGGTTCAGGCCGCAATTCCCCTTTGCAGCTAAACCATGATGGTCATACCTGCTTGTTGGCTGACTGGCCCCAGGGGGTGCCCCATTAATGCATGAAATGAGGACAGGGATTTGGCCACTGTGTGCTGGGTGGGGAGGTCAGGAGCTGGTGCCAGCCACCCCTCCACCTCTCCATCCCACCCACCCCACCCCACTCAGGGGCTGTGTGTGCACATGGCAGCGCCAACATCAAAAGAGACTGGGGTGAAGGAGAAGCACAGAGGGGTGCGACAGGTGCCTCAGACTCACCTGGTTGTCCTCACAGTGAGCAACTACGGTATCAACAAAGGCATCGTTGAAGCGGTCCTGAAGAGAGGAAGGAGGGAGGCTGCAGACCTGCTCCTTACATCCCCAGCCAGAGGTCTGTAGTCCCCATTGTGACCTCCACGGGAGCCAAAGCTCACCCCAATAACCTGGCCCAGCCAAACTCCTGGGGACTAAGCTTTGGGGGAAGGGCGAGGCCAAAACTCACCTCCAGCTTTTTTATGCCTACTTGGACCTGTTGGGAAAAAATTACTTCATTTAAGTTCCTGCAGCCTCCCTCACTTTCAGTCTTATCCCCTGTTCTCAGCTCACCATCTCCCCATAACTGGTCAGCCATGTGCCTAGGGCCCTGCTCTGTCATCAGTATACCTGTGACTTGGACACCTCTCAGGCTCCCTGGGCCTTCCTATTCCCCACCTGTGTACTCACCCGCCACACAGGTGTCAATTTTGTCCAACATAAGGAATGAGCCAACCTGAGGTGGCACCTTCATCATTATTGTCGTCATCATCATCATCATCATCATCATCATCATTGTGATACCATCCCACCCAAATTGTGCAGAGCACAGGAGTGGAAACCCTGACCCACCTGGTCCTCTTCTTCGGGATTGAGCCCATCAAAGAATATGTCTATAGCCTGGTTCTGGAAAAACAGAGTTGGGACAAAGAGATCTGATCCTTCTCCTTCCTGGATCCCAGGAAGGCCAGAACATTGTTACCCTCCCACAGTCAAACCCAGGCCCCACCCACACCCTATCTATACATGGGGAAGAGCTTCTTACCACTTCAGTCTTCATTTTCTCTCGATATTTGAAGGATATCTGTGGAGATAATAGTGACATTGATCTTATATGACTTGCCAACCTCCAGACCTGTTGTACACATGCTCACACACTCACACTGACCAGGACACTCAAGCGTACAAGTATGAACATTGTTCTGGAGTGTGCAGGGCAACCTGGTTCCCAGATACCCAACCCTCTATGGTACCAGTAAGAGTTTGTTGAGGGAGGAATTGGCAGAGACCACTGCGCTCTGAGGAGGGGCAGACACAGAGGTGCCTACATCCAGCTGCTCTTCCTGACTGCTGGCCTTGCAGGCACACAGCACCCCAGGCCCTTTTTCACCCCTAAACTCTTGGCTCACCCCTAAACCAACGAGACAGGGAGTACCCCATAGACTTCCTCTTGAGTTTCCATCTTATGGCCCCAATCTGGTCACTGAGCCCTGGATCACTATTCCTCACCAATGATTCCACGATCCAAAGCATCCTGGAGCTCAACCTCATGGCTAAGGTGTGGGGTGGAGCTGAGGGCGCTGGTAGGGTGTGGGGAGGTTGGAAGGCACCATAAAATGGAAGAATAAACACTGAGGCCAATGCCTGAGAGGACTGTTAAGCTCCCAGGAAAGCACTGCCCACCTCCCACCTTCAGGGCATTAGGACATAAAGGGTCTACTGGGATCGGTATTTCTTCTCACTAATAGACCCTCCATTCTCCAGCTCTTCCCCCAAATATGTCAGATCTAATTGTTAAAGTAACACTTTTCCCATAAGACTCATTGTTTCTCAGTCACACACACACACACACACACACACACACACACACACACACACACACCCCTCTTCTCATACACACAGAGTTGCCCCCATGATTTCTCTCCCAGACATGAATTTTGGCCCCACAACCAGAACCTGCTACATGAAGTGAAAGGCTGAGCACAAAATGGAACTGTGGGGCCTTTGTCAAGAATTATTCAGAATTTTAGTTTGGTGCCAGGGTAGCATCCACCCAACCAGGCCCAGGGCCATCACCATGACCATACAGGTCTCATCCTCATTACACGCTGCTTCCAGGGTCTCTCATGGCCGGGGGATGGAATAGAGCCGGGTGCATGTAGAGATCAGCTAGGGTGGGGCTGCACTGGTGGGAGAGGGGAACAAACACCAGTGGGAAATGGGGCCCCAGGGCCTACTGTCCCTGAATCATTTGCTCTCACTCACCTTGGAGTAGCACATGGCTGCTCAGGGTTCAGAAGGCTGTGGCCTGATGGCGAGGAACAGGGCTGAGAAGTGTTTCAGAGGAGCAGCCTCTTCTACAGAATCCCTTTGGCTGCAGCTCCTTTTAGGGCCCCACTGAGCCAATCACCTTCTGCCACATCATTCCAGCACAGAGCTAGCTGAGGTTTCTACACCAGAAGGTCAGCTGATTTCAGAGCAGCAGAGGAGGCCCTGGCATGGAAAGGGGGGAGGGTGACCTGCCCTAGAGAGTAAAGTATGGCTGATAGTGGGGGTGGGGGAGGGGATTGACAAAAATAGAAAATGAGGAAAGACAGGAAGGGGTGGTAGGGTCGAAGGGCTCTGGGAGGGGAGGGCACATCCCTAAAATCTGCTGGTGGCTCCTCCACTCTCTGAATCAGGGAATCTCTGAGACCAGGAATGGGCCTCTTTTTCTTTTTTTAATGTATATATTTTATTGATTTTTTACAGAGAGGAAGGGAGAGGGATAGAGCGTTAGAAACGTCAATGAGAGAATCATTGATCGGCTGCTTCCTTCACACCCCATCTTGGGGATCAAGTGGGCAACTTGGGCATGTGCCCTTGATGGGAATCAAACTTGGGACTCCTCAGTCCGCAGGCTGATGCTCTATCCACTGAGCCAAACTGGCTAGGGCTGGACAGTTTTCTTTGTGTGTGTTGTTTGTGTTGTTGTTTTTTTACTAAAGCTGACACTTGTACTTAATGAGTGTTAAAATTAACTAGCTATTAGAACTTACTATCTATCATTACTATAGTGGTAGTTATCTCTTAATCAGGAATAAAACAAAAAACTGGAGGAAAATATTTGATCAAAAGAGAGACAATTGGATAAATTTCTACTTGTGACCAGAAGTGTCTAGGCCAGCGATTTTTAACCGGTGTGCTGCAAGAATTTTTAAAACATGCAATACCTGACTATTTAGTCATGGGCACTGACCTCTTTTCCCTTAGATTGTCAAATAAAATAAAAAGAATGACAGCATCCAACACAATAAGCCATGCAATGTGAATGGATAAAAATTATGCCTATTTTTGGTCAGATGGGCAAAAGAATATGTAATCCTGTGCCATAGGACTTTGGATAAAGAAGATGGAAAATGCCTGGTCTAAAGAAAAAAGACGAAAGGCACTGTGCAGAAAGAACTGAGGATGAAAAAGGAATTAAATTCACTAACTTGATGATAATGCCAGAGAGGAAGGCAAAATGAAGTCAGCTCTCAATTGATAACAGGGATTGAAAGAAACAAATAATTGCAAAAAACAAATCATCCCAAAAAATTAAAATGTCTTTATATTTGCCTCAGATGCTGACTTGAGACTAAAGCAACAGGGTAAAGACGATGGCTGTTGCGGGCATCACATCCTTATCTTCCACGTGGAAGCTCTGGGTTAGATTAGGGATATCAAATGCAAATCTTCCTCTGGCCTTCCCCTCCAGCACCGTGGCAAGCAACAGCGCAGGGATTTCCTCGATGAGACCAAATGGAGCCTGGTGACCCTTCTCTCCACAGCGAAGGGTTTAATATGGATTTCAGAGAGAGAAAAGGAGAGGGAGAGAGAGATTGAAACATCAGTTGGCTGCCTCCTACAGCCCCCTACTGAGGATTAAGCCTGCAACCTAGGGAATTGAACTGGTGGCCTCCTGGTGCATGGACCAACACTCAACCATTGACCCATACCAACCAGTGGCCAGGCTTTCCTGTATTTTTATTAGAAATCACATGATTTAGCCCGGCCGTCAAACCCTTTGTTGCTCAAACTGAAACCAATTTGCTCTTCTCAGTTTGTTTTTTTCTTTCATTTCCTCTCTTCTCAGTTTTGATATTACATATCATGTCTTCCTGGGATAGAGTTCTATTTTCGCATAACAGCAGTAGTCAATATAATTTTAAAATGTTTTATTTGGAAATGTCTTACCTTTAAAAAACAAAACAACCTGTCAGAATGGCCAACATCAACAAATCGACAAACGACAAGTGTTGGCGAGGTTGCGGAGAAAAAGGAACCCTCGTGCACTGCTGGTGGGAATGCAGACTGCTGCAACCACTGTGGAGAACAGTGTGGAGTTTCCTCAAAAAACTGAAAATGGAACTCCCATTTGACCCAGCAATCCCACTCCTAGGAATATATCCCAAGAAACTAGAAACACCAATCAGAAAGGATATATGCACCCCTATGTTCATAGCAGCACAATCTACAATAGCCAGAATTTGGAAACAGCCTAGGTGCCCGTCAGCAGATGATTGGATCCAAAAACTATGGTACATCTACACAATGGAATACTATGCTGCCATAAAAAAGAAGGAATTCTCATCATTTGCAGCAACCTGGATGGAATTGGAGAACATCATGCTGAGTGAAATAAGCCAATCAATGAAAGAGAAACACCACATGACCCCTCTCATTTGTGGATAATAAAGATCATTATAAACTGAGGAACCAAAAGATAGATATAGAGACAGTAAAGCAACAAGCAGATTGTCAAATTACAGCGGGGAGGGGAGGAGGATCTGGGGGAGATAATAGATCAACCGAAGGACTTGTATACATGCATATAAGTACAACCAATGGACATAAAACTCTGGGGAGGGAGGGGATATGTGGGAGGGAGGGAGGGGGGCAAAAAAATCATTAAAATATGTAAAAAATTAATTAATTAATTAAAAAAAACGAAAAAATAAATAAAAATAAAAAAACAAAAATAAAAAACAAAACAAACCACATATACATTTTATTGATTTCAGAGAGAATGAGCAAGGGAGAAAGAGATAGAAACATCAATGATGAGAGAGAATCACTGATTGACTGCCTCCTTCACGTCCCCTACTGGGGATCAAGTCCACATCTTGGGCATGTGTCCTGACCAGGAACCGAACAGTGACCTCCTGGTTCATAGGTCAATGCTCAACCACTGAGCTATGCCGGCCGGGCTAAATCATGTGATTTCTAATAAATTACAGGAAAAGCCTGGCCAATGGTTGGTGCGGGTCAATGGTTGAGTGTTGGTCCATGCACCAGGAGGCCACCAGTTCAATTCCCTAGGTTGCAGGCTTAATCCTCAGTAGGGGGCTGTAGGAGGCAGCTGATTGATGTTTCAATCTCTCCCTCTCCCTTTCTCTCTCTGAAATCCATATTAAAAAACATTACACCGAAACCAGTTTGGCTCAATGGATAGAGCGTCGTCTTGGGGACTGAAAGGTCCTGGGTTCGATTCTGGTCAAGGGCATGTACCTTGGTTGTGGGCATATCCCCAGTGGGGGGTGTGCAGGAGGCAGCTGATCGATGACGTTCTCTCATCGATGTTTCTGACTCTCTATCTCTCTCCCTTCCTCTTTATACAAAATCAATAAAATATATTAAAATAATAAAAAAATCAATAAAAATATATTAAAAAAACACACATTAAAATACACAAATTGCGGGGGGGGGGGGGAAATACAGCAGCCCACCCCAGCTCCAGAGCACATAGAACTTCCTGTTGTTATTTGTGGCTTTTCACCCACAAAAATGCTGTGTCTGAGTTTCTGTGGCCCCTCCACCCCACTTGACACATAGCTGCTCTTTAACTGCTTTTTGTAGAAAGTTAGAGAACTTATTCACCAGGGCTCAAGGGACTAAGGGAGGTGGGAAGGCTAAGTCTAGCAAAGGTCAGCACTTTGGAGATTGGGTGGGAAGATTGGGGTATAGAGAGCCACCAGATGTCACACAGCAAATTCAACTCATGGAAAACCCCGGGAGGGGGGGAGAGGGTGGATTCCAAAGAGGGAGGATTGGTCAACTAAGTGACTGAGAGGAGCTGGGAGAACCCACAGCATTGAAAGCTTATTATTGATTGAGCACCTACTGTGTGTCAGGGACTGTGTGGGCCATTGAAGGGAACAAGGACTACAATAGAGGGGGGACGGGGGAGGCAGCCTCAGGAGAGTGGAAAGAGCCTCCCAGACAGAGGGAACAGCATGGGCAGAGGCCCTGAGATGGGAGCGGCTTGGCAGGCAGCTAAAGAATGTTGTCCAGCAGGGGGCTCTGCAGGGACCTAAGATGCAGGCAGAACCTTAGGCCAGGGTTGGACTTCATTCACATAGGGTGCACAGGAGATTTTCAGGCTGGGATTATTTCATTTTTTTTAACAACGAAATCATCTAGAGCTTGGCTACTGGACTGAAATAGCTTAAAAGAGGCAAGACTGGGAGATGAGCTAGATGACCTCAAGGGATCGGTGGGCCACAAAGCTCCTGGTGGCTTTAGCACAGGGCGACAGTTTTTTCTGTTGGAAGAAATAAGGGGGAGGGCATGAGGAGAGGTCAGTGGAGGTTTGATTCAGGGTCACTTGGGAAATTCAGGGACAGGGTTTGAAAGAACAAGAATGGTGACTGATGCCCGGTCGGTGTGGCTCAGAAGTTGACTCATGATCCAAGAGGTTGCCTGTTCAATTCCCAGTTAAAGCACATGCCCAGGTTGCAGGCACCATCCCCAATAGGAGGTATGCAAGAGGCAGGTGATCAATGTTTCCTTCTCAGTGATGTTTCTATCTCACCCTTCCTCTCTCTAATACAATCCATAAATCTCTAAAAGAGCCCAGCTGGCATGCCGGGGCAAGGCTCACTGGTTGAGCATTGACCTATGAAGCAGGAGGTCGAGGTTCAATTCCTGGTCAGGGCACATGCCTGGGATGTGGGCTGGATCCCCAGTAGGGGGTGTGCAGGAGGCAGCCGATCAATAATTCTCTCATCATGGATGTTTCTACCTCTTCCTCTCTCTCCCTTCCTCTCTGAAATCAATAAAAACATATTAAAAAGAAGAAGAAGAAGAAGAAGAAGAAGAAGAAGAAGAAGAAGAAGAAACATAAAGAAAAGAAAAGAAAAGAAAAGAAAGGAAATGAAAAGAAAAAAGAAAAGAAAAGAAAAGAAAAGAAAAGAAAAGAAAAGAAAAGGCACATAGGACATGAAGTGAGGATATGGCCAAGAATAATGAGTGCTGGTCAGGACCTGCAGTGGGCAGCCCTCGGAGCTGGGGTTTCAGGCCAGAGACGGGCCTTCTAGTGTGAAGGCATGCCAGAGGGGTCCCTGGAAGTGGAGGATAGGACGCGAGCACCAGTGGGGCTCTGCTCAAAGGAACCCTCAGCTGGGCTGCCTCGTTCCTTAGGAAGGTGGGGCCAGGCCAAAGGTAAGGAAGATCCTTGCCATTAGTGCCCTCCCCTCCTGGGGCAGGGTCCCTCAGGATTATCGGGACCAGCGGGAAGCTACTGAAAGGGTGCGGGTCCAGCCATTGCTCCTCTTGCAGGACTGACAGCTGGCCCTGGTGGGGAGCTCCTTCTAGGAACCAAGATTTCCTTCCTACCATCCAAAGGGTCTGAAGCTGGCAGAAGAGGGTGCAGGATACTGACCCACAGAAATGTCCCCATCCTGCAGGTCTCCTGGCTCCCAACCCCTCCCCACATCCACCTTGGAGTGTTTGCTCTTCATCAGGCCCACTTCCTCCCTTTTCTTCCTGCTTCAGGTCAAAGTCCAACCTTCATCTCATCTCAGCAGCTGCTACTTGCTGCCAATCACCCCTGACTGCAAAGCTGGTCTTCATACATCTGCCTGAAGCAGGGAGTCAGGGCTGGGGGTGGGAGGCATTTGGCCTCACAGATGGTGAGCTGTGCTGGCCCTCTCAGGCCTCAAGCCTTGCTCCAGGCTCCCCCAGCCTCTGCATTTGCAGTCCCAGGTGAGGTGGCCAGCCCAGAGATCAGATGGCCTGCCTACTCTGCCTTCCTTCTAGGCTCATGTGGAAGTGCACTCTGCCTGCTCCCTACCGCCACCACTGCCCCAGTCCCTGGGCCTCTGATTATGGAAGAAACGTGAAGGAGTTTCAGAGGCCCAGCCCAGCCCCAGTGATGAAGGTCCAAAGAGGGTGGTCAGGAAAAGCAAAGGGGCCAAAGTCCCCAGGCCTGAGCTCCTGGTGTTCAGGAAGGTGCAGCTATTGAGCACTTACTGTGTGCCAGGCCCTGCAGGAAGCTGTGCACAGGCTAAAATCCAGCTGCTCATGATAAGTCCTCGGCCAGTGTGAGCAGTGCCCTATTTACAGATTAGAGAGGTCAGGTGGACTCTGTACCTAGTTAATCACTGTCCCTAATGCACATTCAGGAAATCACTTGCCCTCCCTTAGTTATCTGGTCCTGCAAGAACTATTTATGTAAATACTCCCAATCTATAAGGGGCATAAACCAACGATGTAACAGCTTAATTAGAGGGAGGTCACTGGCTCCATCCATGATGGACATTAGATACAATCTAAGCTTACCCAAGTTCTCCTTTTTCAGCAGAACCAAGATCCAGGCCTAGGTCCATCTGATTGGTGCACTGAGCACCCGCACTCCACCTCCCAACCCCCATTCAGTCAAGCACTCAATTTGGTTCAATCAACTTTTGAAGCAAATCACCTTTATTGTTGAAAGTATTACAGATCTCCCTTTTTCCCCATTGACCTCCTCCACCCCACTCGTGCCCCCTCCCAAGGCCAACCAACTTTTATTAAAACGCCATAGCAAGAGAAGGTAATCCAGGCAAGCTGGGAAGAGAGGCTGTGAACAGGGTGGACGTGAGGGAGGTTGTGGAGGATGGGTCAAGGATGAGCAGGAAAGCAAATATTCTATCTGGAAACGGGGAATCAAAGGGCTGGGAGGTGTAGCTGAGCTCCTCCAGAACCTCATGGGACTCCTTAGGCCTGGCATGAACTTGAGAAACACTTTGCCACACTAGAGAAGAAACTCTCAATCACACTCCAGATGGTCTTCGCCACTTTGACAAAGGAGGCAAAAATCGAGGCCAGCACATCCTTCCATATCTTCTTCTGTCGATTTAGCATCTCTCGGAACAACCTCAGTACCCGTTCCCCAAAGCTCTCCTCAGGTTTCTGGGCCCCTGTGAGAGAGACTAGTTAGCAATCCAGGGCAAGTGGAATAGGGAAGCTGAGACAGATGGTTAAAGAACTGAGGCTTTTCAGCCATCTAGTACATTGCAAAATCCTGTCTTTCCTAACCAGGACACAAGAGTAAATGGTTTAAAGCACATGTGTCAAACACAAGGCCCGCAGGCCAAATCCGTCCCGCCAGGCCTTGCAATGTGGCCCGCACCGCGCTGTCATCACTGCACTCCGCTGTGTTTCCATCACAATGACAGTTTATGACTGTTCAGTAAACCATTCGGCCCGCGATTTAGGCTGGATTTTAGATTTTGGCCCCTTCTCTGATTGAGTTCGAAACCCCTAGTTTAGAGCATCATCCTGTACACCGACACAGGTTGTGGGTTTGATTCCTAGTTAGAGCACATACCTAGCTTGCAGGTTCAATCCCTGTTCAAAGCAAATACAAGAGGCAACTGATTAATGTTTCTCTCTCACATAGATGTTTCTCTCCTTCTCTCTCTCTCTCTGGCTCTCTTACTCTCCACCCCTTACTCTCTCTAAAATCAATATACAATACATCTTCAGGTGAGGATTAAAAATAAATAAATAAAAAGACTAAGTGGCTCATACTTCTCCCAAAACAGGGAGATAGATAGCAGAATCCAGTTAGTGTCAACCACACCCAAACCCAGATAAGGTAAAGGAACACATCTCATTTTGGCAGAGCAGCATAAAGCTGGTGAATATTCTATTGAGATCCTTCCCCAAGAACTCCAGCCTTTAAACCACTCAAGACAAAGGAGCCAGGAGCAAGCCACACCTTTCTTCCCTTTCAGGCATGCATCGCCTAAACCCTGGGTTGCCGGGAGATTTGCAACCAGAAGAGCAATGGGCAGCCGCAGCTCGTCTGGACTGACCCCCCAAGCCTGTCTCCAAGGCCCCCCTTTTCTCCAAATTTCCGGTGAGCCAAAGCAGCCCCGCCGAGGCTTTCTGCTGGTGCTGCTTCCATCCTAAACCCTCCTCTTTTCACCCTCCCCAGCGTTAATAAACATCCTCTCAAAATCACCTGGACTTTCGTTGTGCGATCCTTCAGGCTCAGATTTCTGCTCCGAGCCTGGTTCCTGGACTTTACTACGGATTCTGTTCCGCAGTTCCTGCTGCTGTTCCGGAAGTAAGGGAGCACATTCCTGTGGGGATGGGGCATGTGTAGGATCCGAATGGGTCCTGACAGAGCCTCATACACAGAGCTGCCTGCTTTCCTGCCGGCAGTCCACAAGGACCGCTTGCGGAGGTTCAGGCTGCAATTCCCCTTTGCAGCTAAACCACCATGGTATTACCTGCTTGTCGGCTGACTGGCCCCAGGGGGTGCATGAAATTGAGGACAGGGATTTGGCCACTGTGTGCTGGGTGGGGAGGTCAGGAGCTGGTGCCAGCCACCCCTCCACCTCTCCATCCCACCCACCCCACCCCACTCAGGGGCTGTGTGTGCACATGGCAGCGCCAACATCAAAAGAGATTGGGGTGAAGGGGAAGCACAGATGGCTGGGACAGGTGCCTCAGACTTACCTGGTTGTCCTCACAGTGAGCAACTACAATATCAGCCACGGTGTTGTTGAAGTGGTCCTGAAGAGAGGAAGGTGGGAGGCTGCAGACCTGCTCCTGACATTCCCAGCCAGAGGTCTGTAGTCCCCACTGTGACCTCCAAGGGAGCCAAAGCTCACCCCAATAACCTGGCCCAGCCAAACTCCTGGGGACTAAGTTTTGGGGGAAGGGCGAGGCCAAAACTCACCTCCAGCTTTTTTATGCCTTCCTTGACCTGTTGGGAAAAAGTTACTTTGTTTAAATTCCTGCGGCCTCCCTCACTTTCAGTCTTATCCCCTGTTCTCAGCTCACCGCCTCCCCGTAATTGGTCAGCCATGTGCCTGGGGCCCTGCTCTGTCATCAGTATACCTGTGACTTGGACACCTCGCAGGCTCCCTGGGCCTTCCTATTCCCCACCTGTGTACTCACCCGCCACACAGGTGTGAATTTTGTCCAGCATAAGGTATGAGCCAACTGAGGTGGCACCTTCATCATCATTGTCGTCGTCGTTGTCGTCGTCATCATCATCATCATCATCATGATTGTGATACCATCCCACCCAAATTGTGCAGAGCACAGGAGTGGAAACCCTGACCCACCTGGTCCTCTTTTTTGGGATTGACTTTATCCCAGAATATGTCGATAGCCTGGTTCTGGAAAAACAGAGTTGGGACAAAGAGATCTGATCCTTCTCCTTCCTGGATCCCAGGAAGGCCAGAACATTCTTACCCTCCCACAGTAAAACCCAGGCCCCCACCCACACCCTATGTATACATGGGGAAGAGCTTCTTACCACTTCAGTCTTCATTTTCTCTCGATATTCGTAGAATGTCTGTGGAGATAATAGTGACATTGATCTTATGCATATGACTTGCCAACCTCCAGACCTGTTGTACACATGCTCACACACTCACACTGACCAGGACACTCAAGCGTACAAGTATGAACATTGTTCTGGAGTGTGCAGGGCCACCTGGTTCCCAGATACCCAACCCTCTATGGTACCGGTAAGAGTTGGCTGAGGGAGGAATCGGCAGAGATCACTGCGCTCTGAGGAGGGAACAGACACAGAGGTGCCTACATCCAGCTGCTCTTCCTGACTGCTGACCTTGCAGGCCCACGACACCCCAGGCCCTTTATCACCCCTAAACCCTTGGCTCAACCATTGAGGCCATAAACTTCTTCATGGCCCCAATCTGGTCACTGAGCCCTGGATCACTTTATTCCTCACCGGTGATTCCATGATCCTTTGGTCATGACCCAAAGCATCCTGGAGCATTAGCTCAACCTCATGGTTAAGGTGCGAGGTGGGGCTGAGGGCGGTGGTAGGGTGTGCAGAGATTTAAAGGCACCACAAATGGAAGAATAGACACCGAGGCCAATGCCTGAGAGGATTGTTAAGTTCCCAGGAAAGCACTGCCCACCTCCCACCTTCACGGTATTAGGATATTAAGGGTCTACTGGGATTGGTGTCTCTTCTCACCAATAGACCCTCCATTCTCCAGCTCTTCCCCCAAATATGACAGGTCTAATTGTTAAAGTAACACTTTGTTCCATAAGACTCATTGTTTCTCAGTCACACACACACACACACATACACACACACACACACTCCCCTCTTCTCATACACACAGAGTTGCCCCCATGATTTCTCTCCCAGACATGAATTTTGGCTCCACAACCAGAACCTGCTACATGAAGTGAAAGGCTGAGCACAAAATGACACTGATGGGCCTTTGTCAAGAATTATTCAGAATTTTAGTTTGGTGCCAGGATAGCATCCACCCAACCAGCCCCAAGACCATCACAATGACCAGACAGGTCACATCCTCATGACACCCTGCTTCCAGGGTCTCTCATGGCCCAGGGGGATGGAACAGAGCCGGGTGCATGTAGAGATCAGCTAGGGTGGGGCTGCACTGGTGGGAGAGGGGAACAAACACCAGTGGGAAATGGGACCCCAGGGCCTACTGTCCCTGAATCATTTGCTCTCACTCACCTTGGAGTAGCCCATGGCTGCTCAGGGTTCAGAAGGCTGTGGCCTGATGGCGAGGAACAGGGCTGAGAAGTGTTTCAAAGGAGCAGCCTCTTCTACAGAATCCCTTTGGCTGCAGCTCCTTTTGAGCCCCCACTGAGCCAATCACCTTCTGCCACATCATCCCAGCACAGAGCTAGCTGAGGTTTCTGCAGGAGAGGAAAGTCAGCTGATTTCAGAGCAGCAGAGGAGAACCTGGGGGTGGAAAGCAGGGAGGGTGACCTGCCCTAGAGAGTAAAGTATGGCTGATAGTGTGGGGGTGTGGGAGGGATGTGACAAAAACAGAAAGAAAAAGAGGAAAGACAGGAAAGGGGAGGTCAAAGGGCTCACTCTCTGAATCAGGGAATCTCTGAGACCAGGAATGGGCCTATTAGTCAACCCCTCATCAGCCTGAAGAAAGAGGAGGGGCAGAGGGAAAGTGCAGATTTCAAAAGCAGGTTGGAGCATTTCTCAGAACTTCCAGAATAAAGAGCTTCCGGCTGGGGAGTCTAGGTGCAGGGGAATGTCTGGAATGTCCACCATGTCCCTGGAACAGAGTGCACCCCGGCTTCAGAGTCCACAGGTTCTATTGATTGGGAGCATAAGGCATTTTGAGGGGCTAGCAATGTGATTTGGATCCAGTAGTTTGGTGCCAGGATAGTCTCCCTACTTTCTACTGTACACTTTTTTTTTTTTTTTTTTTTTTTTTTTTTAACATTGTGGAATTAGAATTTCTGGTTTCTTTTCTTTTTTTTTTTTTTTTAAAAAAGATTTTTTAATTGATTTTTTTACAGAGGATGGGAGAGGGATAGTCAGAAACATAGATGAGAAATAAACGTTGGGAATGTGCCTGCAACCAAAGTACATGCCCTTGACAGGAATTGAACCTAGGACCCTTAAGTCCGCAGGTCGACATCCACTGAGCCAAACCACTTAAGGATCTATTGCACACTCTTTTTTAATTTTATTCATTTTTTTAAATCAATCTTTATTGTTCATATTATTACAAAGGTTCTTCATTTCTTCCCCCCTCCACCATCTTTTTTTATTTTAATTTAATAAATCTTTATTGTTCAGATTATTACAATTGTTTCTTCTTTTACCCCCCCTTAGCTACCTTCCATCTGGTTCCCATCCCACACTCTGCCCTTACCTCCCTCCACTGTCTTCATCCATAGGTGTATGATTTTTGTCCAGTCTCTTCCCGTACCCCCTACATCCCTTTCCCACTGAGAATTATCAATCCACTCCCATTCTATGCCCCTGATTCTATTATATTCACCAATTTATTCTGTTCCTGGATTTTTTAAAAATATATTTTATTTGATTTTTCACAGAGAGGAAGAGAGAGGGATAGAGAGTTAGAAACATCGATGAGAGAGAATCATCGATCAGCTGCCTCTTGCACACCCCCTACTGGGGATGTGCCCGCAACCAAGGTACATGCCCTTGCCCGGCATCGAACCCGGGACCCTTCAGTCCGCAGGCTGACACTCTATCCACTGAGCCAAACCGGTCCCAGCTGTTCCTAGATTTTTAATTCATTTGTTTTTTTTTATTTTTTATTAAATTATTATCTGTGTACATATCTTACCATTGCCCCCACTTCCCATACATGCCCTCCCTCCCCAGAGTTTTGTGTCCATTGGTTGTACTTATATGCATGCAGACAAGTCCTTCAGATCTTATCTCCCCCAGATCTCCCTACTCTCCCCGCTGTAATTTGACAGTCTGCTTGTTACTTTACTGTCTCTATATCTATCTTTTGGTTCATCAGTTTAAAATGTTCTTCATTATCCATAAATGAGTGAGGTCATGTGGTGTTTCTCTTTCATTGACTGGCTTATTTCACTCAGCATGATGTTCTCCAATTCCATCCAGGTTGCTGCAAATGATAAGAATTCCTTCTTTTTTATGGCAGCATAATATTCCATTGTGTAGATGTACCATAGTTTTTGGATCCAATCATCTGCTGACAGGCACCAAGGCTGTTTCTAAATTCTGGCTATTGTAAATTCTGCTGCTATGAACGTAGGGCTGCATATATCCTTTCTGATTGGTGTTTCTAGTTTCTTGGGATATATTCCTAGGAGTGGGATTGCTGGGTCAAATGGGAGTTCCATTTTCAGTTTTTTGAGGAAGCTCCATACTGTTCTCCACAGTGGTTGCAGCAGTCTGCATTCCCACCAGCAGTGCACGAGGATTCCTTTTTCTCCACAACCTCGCCAACACTTGTCGTTCGTTGATTTGTTGATGTTGGCCATTCTGACAGGTGTGAGATGGTACCGCAATGTTGTTTTGATTTGCATCTCTCCGATAATTAGTGAGTTTGAGCATGTTTTCATGTGCCTCTTGGCTTTCCTTCTGTCTTCTTTTGAGAAGATTCTGTTTAGGTCTATTGTCCATTTTTTAATTGGCTCATTTATCTTCCTTTTATTAAGTTGTATAAGCTGTCTGTAGATGTTGGAAATTAAACCTTTATCAGTGATAACATTTGCAAATATGTTCTCCCATACAGTGGGCTTTCTTGTTTTGTTGATGGTTTCTTTTGCTGTAAAAAAGCTTTTTATTTTGATGTAGTCCCATTTGTTTATTTTCTCTTTAGCTTCCATTGCCCCAGGGGCAGTACCAGTGAAGAAGTTCTTTTGGCATATGTCTAATGTTTTGCTGCCTGTGGATGCCTCTAGTATTTTTATGGTTTCCCTTCTTATGTTTAAGTCCTGTATCCATTTTGAGTTTATTTTTGTGTATGGTGTAAGTTGGTGATCTAGTTCATTCTTTTGCATGTATCTGTCTAATTTTCCCAACACCATTTATTGAAGAGACTGTCTCGACTCCATTGTATATTTGTGCCTCCTTTGTCAAATATTAGTTGAGCGTAGTGATTTGGGTTGATATCTGGATTCTCTATTCTATTCCATTGATGTCTGTTCTTGTGCCAGTACCAGGCTGTTTTGAGAACAATAGCTTTGTAATATAGCTTGAAATCTGGTATTGAGATCCCTCCTACTTTACTCTTCTTTCTCAGGATTGCTGTGGCTATTTGGGGTCTTTTATTGTTCCAAATGAACTTTTGAAGAGTTTTTTCCTAGGTCAGTGAAATATGCCATTGGTATTTTAATGGGGAGTGCATTGAACCTATAGATTGCTTTGGGAAGTATGGACATTTTGATGATGTTGATTCTACCAATCCATGAACACGGTATGTTCTTCCATCTGTTTACATCTTCCTCTATCTTTTTTTTCAGTGTCGTGCAGTTCTCCATGTATAGGTCTTTTACCTACTTAGTTAAGTTTATTCCAAGGTATCTTAATTTTTTTGGTGTGATGGTAAATGGGATTGCTTTTTTAGTCTCTGTTTCTGTAAGTTCACTATTGGTGTATAGAAATGCCATAGATTTCTTGGTTAATTTTGTATCCTGCTATATTGCCAAATTCATTTATTAAGTCTATTAGTTTTTTGATGGAGTCTTTTGGATTTTTTATGTACAATATCATGTCATCTGCAAATAATGATAACTTCACTTCTTCTTTTCCAATTTGGATGCCTTTTATTTCCTCCTCTTGTCTAATTACAATGGCTAGTACTTCCAGTACTATGTCAAACAGGAGTGGTGAGAGTGAACATCCCTGTCTTGTTCTTAGAGTGAATGGTTTTAGTTTTTGCCCATTGAGTATGACGGTGGCTGTGGGTTTATCATATATAGCTTTTATTATGTTGAGGTATGATCCTTGCACTCCCACCTTATTGAGAGTTTTTATCAGGAAAGGGTGTTGGATTTTATAAAATTATTTTTCTGCATCAATTGATATGACTTTGATTTTTATCTTTCAATTTGTTTATGTGATGTATCACATTTATTAATTTGCAGATATTGTACCATCCTTGCATTCCTGGGATAAATCCTACTTCGTCATGGTGTATGATCTTTGTGATGTTCTGCTGGAGCCAATTTGCTAGAATTTTGTTGAGGATTTTGGCATCTATGTTAATGAGGGATATTGGCCAGTAATTCTCTTTCATTGTGTTGTCTTTATCTGGTTTTGGTATTAGGGTGATGCTGGCTTCATAGAAGGAGTTTGAAAGTGTTCCTTCCTCTTGAATTTCTTGGAATAGTCTGAGAAGGATAGGTTTTAGTTCTTCCTTGAATGTTTGGTAAAACTCTCCTGTGAAGCCATCTGGCCCTGGGCTTTTGTTTGCTGGAAGCTTTTTGATGACTGCTTCAATTTCTTCCTAAGTCACTGGTCTATTGAGATTTTTAGATTCTTCCCGATTGAGTTTTGGAAGGTTGTATTTTTCTAGGAATATGTCCATTTCCTCCAGGTTGTCCAGTTTGTTGGAATAGAGTTGTTCGTAGTATTTTGTAACAATCCTTTGTATTTTGGCAGGGCCTGTTGTTATTTCACCTCTTTTGTTTATGATTTTGTTTATTTGGGTCCTCTCTCTTTGTTTCTTGGTTAGCCTGGCTAGAGGTTCATCAATCTTGTTTATCCTTTCAAAGAACCAGCTCTTGGTTTTCTTGATCTGATGTATTGTTTCTTTGGTCTCTATGTCGTTTATCTCCGCTCTGAGTTTTATTATTTCCTTCCTCTGCTTACACTGGGCTTTTTTTTGTTGTTGTTGTTGCTCTTTTTCTAACTCTTTGAGTTGTAGAGTTAGATAATTTGTTAACATTTTTTTCTTGGGTTTTTTTTTTTTTTTTTTTTTTTTTTTTTTTTTGCAGTAGACTTGTAGAGAGATATAAACTTCCCTCTTAAAACTGCTTTTGCTGTGTCCCATAGATTTTGGATTGTTGTGTTTTCATTGTCATTTGTTGCCAGGATGTTTTTAATTTCTTCCTTGATTTCTCTGGTAACCCAGTCTTTGTTCAATAGCATGCTGTTTAGTCTCCATGTGTTTGATTTCTTTGGATTATTTTTATTGTAGTTAATTTCCAGTTTTATGTCACTATGATCTGAGAAGATGCTTGATATGATTTCTATCTTCTTGAATTTGAAGAGACTTTGCCTATGTCCCAACATGTGGTCTTTGAAAATGACCCATGTGCACTTGAGAAGAATGTATATTCTGTGGCTTTGGGGTGTAATGTTCTGAAGATATCGATTAATTCCATCTGGTCTAGTGAGTCATTTAGGAATGATATTCCTTTGCTGATTTTTTGTTTAGATGATTTGTCCAAAGGTGACAATGGGATAGTAAAATCACCTACTATGATTGTATTGCTATTAATCTCTCCCTTAATGTTCTCCAGCAGGGTTTTTTTTTTTTTT